CCCCCGCCGCCCTCCCCGCGCCGCCCGTGCGCGCGGCCGCGAGCGAGAGAGCGAGCGAGCTCTCGGCGCTGGGCGCTGCGGGAGCGGCTGACCTCGCCGGGCGCCTCGGGGCCAGCCGGCTCCGGAGCTGCCGCTGCCGCCTCCGCGCGCGATCCTCCACGCGCCACGGCCTCCGGCGCAGCTCGCGAGCCTGGCCGCTCGCCCCCGCCAGCGTCCCTTCCCGCGCAGCTGCAGAGCCGCAGCCGCAGCCGCAGCCGCAGCGACCGCTGCTCGCTCGGGGACCATGCAGGGGCCGCCTGCTTAGCCTCGCGTTCGCAGTCTGCGGGGAGGACCCCCACCCCCGTTCTCTGACCAAGGCCCAGGGACGGGGTTAGACAAATCTGGAAGCCCTCTTGGCATCGCCCGACCCCGGGTGCAATCTCCTAAGCCTGTCTGGGTAAACCCCGGGCTGGTGGCTTTTGAAGCAGCAGGGCAGCAAGCATGCATGGGCAAGCAACCTTGCAGGTTTGCACCACGGGCTTCCGCAGGCTGCAGGGACCCCGCATTCTGAAGGAGAAAGCGCACTTAAAAGGAAAATGTAGGCAGAGAGGAGGTCGGAACTTGGCGTGGTAGCTATCTAGAAGGCGACAATATGTGGAAGCGTTTATCAGATATCCCGAGCTCAGAGCCTAACTACCTGTCAGCCCAAATAGTGACTTTTTTTTTTCTTTCTTGGACTAAATAATAATCAGAGAGCATTTGGAACAGATCAGGGCTCGGGAGTGCTTGCATTTTGCAGGGCTGGCTGTTGGTGTGAATGATTCGGTAGGTGGCATTCTTCCCTTGGAATCAGAACTGAAAAAAAAAAAAATCAACTAAGGACAGCACTCCCTGATGCTAGGTTGTTGTGGGTTTGGCTTGTTTTTGTGACAAGGATAAAAGGTCCCTGGCAGTTTGGACTGCTATTGGGGCAGATTGTAAGGAATAGCACTCCTGTGGGCAGTGTTCTGAGCTAGGGGATGCTATTAAACACATACCCACAAACACACACTATTACAACCCCTGAGAGTAATTTTAGGCACTGTCCACACCACACTGTTAAAAGGAAGCTTAATAAAGCTCATGTTATATATTCGTCCACATCTGTGAATCGGGTGCTACAGCTGTGGCCATTGCACAGCGAAGGGACTTTGCCCACGAATTTATATGCTGTGCTTTAAAAGGGCTTTGCAGTTCTGCTGATTCACGTAAAACCATCCTCAAGGTAGCTCCTTAATCTCTCAATTCTTTGGTGAATGGATGCCCTAGCTTTTCTCAATCTGTCTCATTTTTTTTTGTTTCAATTATTTTTATTTTCAAATAGTTCACTTAGCTCAGAGAATCGAGGGCATGCAGACTTTTATTTTTTTTATTCTTTGTTGACTGCCAGTACTTAAAGAAGTGTCTGACACAATAAATGTTTGTTAGTTAAACGAATTGAGAAAACACACAAACAATGTGAGAAAGATCCAGAAGGGCCAAGCCAGTGCTGGCGGTCATTCAGAGTCCCGTGTACTATAAAGTATCTCTTTGTGATAAAATGCCCAGTGCCCCAAAACAAGATGCTCTTTTTTTTTTTCCCTGCAAATGTGGAAAATTTTCACTGCTTAACTTGTGTTTTTATTCCTACAATTAAACAGCTTGGGTTGGCCCAGAAAACTGCCCCCTTCATCTATGTTTTGAGGCAAGGCTACTCAAGAAATTTGGATTGGGACAGATGACAGCAGAAACACACACCCAATCACACAAACACGCAGGAGTGTATGTGTGTTCCCATGCATTCAGAGACCTAAGCAAAACATTTATGGCTTTCTTCTAAGTCTCTCTGCCGTACCTGCATTATTTGATTCCTCGCTAAAGAATAAACTTAAAATGCCATAGTATGGTATGAAAGGCTGACATCCCACCTTTCACTTCATTTTCTTGCTGTCTCCTTATTCCTCACCCTATTCGCTGTCACCTTGAATTCTTCATACTTTCAGGAGCCCACTTTGACTTTAAACCTGCTCTTACAATCTGGGAAATTTTCAGTCTACAATTTCTACCCTCTGTTACTTTACAGTATCTGGATACTGTCTAGTATCCAGGGCATAGAAATTGCCTGGTGAATTTTTCTGGAAATATTCAGGACTTCTATCAGGAACTTAGAAAAGCCTTCCCAGCTTTCTCTCTTATCTGTCTCCAGACACCCAGGCTTGAGTGTAACTTCTGAAATTGCAACAGGAAACCTTTGTCAGTGTTTAGTTTATGGTAGACTATAAGCATTTTACAGATATAATTAAATTACATCTATAATCATCTGATGGGGTGGGTTCATTTATCTCCCCATTTCCCGTAGAAGACAACGTCAGACCCCAACGACATTAACAGTGTACCTAAAATTAGCTAGTAAATTGGAAACTGACGATTCAGCTTCAGAACCCATGTTCTCCCTGGCCACTTAGGCTCTGCTGTAAAAACGTTTGTTTCTCTGGCTATTGTCATTTGCTTCACTTGCTTTAAGAGAAAAGGGTGCATTTTATCTTCTTTATACCAGGCACCCACGTGTGCTGTAGTAATTTTTACAACCTTTTATATTTGAATAAATGCATAAATGCATTATTATATACAGCCACTGATACCTCCATCATTCTGTCTAGTGTGAGGGAGATGTTATAACGAGGCAGACACAACCCTGGACTAATCGTTGTGTTGTTTAGACAGTGAAACCATATTCAGGAGGAACCCTATGCTGTAGAACAGTGATACCAGAACATAAAACTGATGATAAAGCAATTGAAGAGTGAGAAGGACAATCAATGCCTGATGTAAGCAGGATACACCTAGAATAGTGTGAAACAAGCTTTGAAGCAAAATGCTAATAGTCAACACCTAGCATCTTGAGACCCCAAGAGCAGGCCTCTAGTGGAAACTAAGAATGAAACCAATGGTCTGCCAATCATTAGAATAACTAAGAATGAAGAAACAACTATTAAAGAAACTTCATACAATGTTTCTTCATATGCAGGACAATTAAGTTAAGCACTGGAACCAATAGGAACAGTCTTTATAAATACCAAGGTGCACATAGCAGTCATTTTCACTGCTATCCAAATGCAAATTGATGGCCTGCAGTGGGAATTCAGATACATATACTTAAAAATTTGTTTTGCCAGGAAGGAGAGGAGGATCTCCCCTATCAGTGGCCTTGGGGAGGGGCATTCGTGAAGAAGAAGGTGGGAGGGTGGGATCGGGATGGGAGGAGGGAGGGGCTTATGGGGGGATACAAAGTGAATAAAGTGTAATTAATAATAAAAAAGAAAAAAGAATGTAAAGTGATAAATAATGATCATATATGCACCGTAAGTTAATTGCATATCTGCGAAATCATTTTATACATTTAAAGTTAGTTGATTCTTACTTAGGTGTTGGAAAACCTTTTCTATAAGAATCATATAGTATTTTCATCTTTGCAACATATGACATGTTCATTGAATCTAGTTGTCTGCTGTTACTGCACAACATGAAATCGGCTAAAAAAAACTATTTAAATGAGTGGGTATAGCCATGTGCCAATAAATTTTATTTATAAAAAAAAAGGAAAAAAACAAAAAAAAATGTTTGCCAAACTAAAATTCAGAATATTTTTATATAATTCTGGTTTGTTTGTTTGTTTGTTTGTTTGTTTGTTTGTTTAATTAAGAGCTTGTCAGTATTAGGCTCAAGTTGTTCAAGTTGTCTGAGAAATAAGCTGGATGTATTGATTTTCTTAATACAAAACCTAATCTAATAGGCACCCCTGAGAACTAACAGGTAAAGCAATAAAGTGAAACACCTGTAGGGAAGATAAAGAATTCAGAAAAATAAACAGTACCAAGTGGGTTCATTTTTAAAGTCAATATAACAGTTTTTGAAGAAGAGAAATAGTGGGTGGCGTCTTAGGCTGCAAGAGGGTAAGGTATGCCTGGATGAGGGAGGAAGAAGATTGAGACTTCTCTTTACAGATTAGCTGTGGATAGGAAGGAAACCAGGGCAGCCCCTGCCAGAGGGCAATGGAATCTATTTATTACCAAAGCAGGAGGTTGATCTGCTACGGGTGAGGAAGAGGAGAGATGCTAATATTCATTTAGAGGGCAAGGCCAGAGGGAAATGTTTAGAGGTAGATAAAGTGATCAAGAAAGATTACACTGAGCTTACCATCAGGAGCTGTGTGTGTGTGTGTGTGTGTGTGTGTGTATGTGTGTGTGTGTGTGTGTTGGTGGCCTTATCTAGATCAGCTTAAATGACATGAATGGGCTGGAGTTTTACATGTGAGAAGGAAGTGCACAGTGGGTATGCATGACTCTGCCAGGTTGAAAGAAAAGGCAGGAAATAGAAAAGAGATAGGGATCTGAAGGGAATCTAGGTGGGCCAAGTGAGTTCATATAACTACTGACGAGAAAGCATTGGAG